ATTTATGTCTTCTTGCGCAAAGACCTTGAAAACCACTCCTTGGCAGCCTCCCTCCTCTCCCCTCCCTCCCCTGCCCCCCCCCCCCCCCCCCCCCCCCGCCCCGGGGAGTATTCTCCCAAACTGCTGGAGTGGCTGGGCGTGGACACAGCTGGTGGTCCTCAGGACAAGCCCAGCCGCCACCGCCACCGGGGCTCTGGCAACAGTACCCCCATGTCCCCACCAAGAAGGCTGCTCTGGATCTGAGAGCCAGAGACACACTTGAAGAACGTACATGCCTGATAGGAGTTCAGACTGCAGGCTGGCCCGGAGGAAGGGGGGTTGCAGGGGAGAGTTGGAGAGCAGAGGCCCTAGAGCATTCTCATGAAAGCATTTCAGATTTAAAACCTTTCCAGGGTTGGTATATAGGCCTTCGAGTCATCTGCAATGCCTGTCAGCTCCCCCTTCGTGAGGCACAGCTGTAATTCTAGAAGGATTCCCTGGATGCCAGGGAAGACTCCAAAAATGATCAGCCAGAATTGTCTCCCGTAGCTCTGTGGACTTTATGGTGGCTGGAATTTGACCACGTTCCCCTCCCCACGCTCCCAGGAAACTTTGATATTTTGGAGAATAATTAATGTTTGAAAAGTTTCACCCACACAGAGATGATAAAAATTAATCTTATGCAAAGTTTCACTTGGGGGCGCCTGGGTGGCTCAGTTGGTTGAGCGTCTGACTTCGGCTCAGGTCATGATGTCACGGTTTGTGGGTTGGAGCCCTGCATCAAGCTCACTGCTGTCAGCCCCATTTCAGATCCTCTGTCTGTCTCTGTCTCTGTCTCTGTCTCTCTCTGACCCTCCCCCCCTCTCAAAAATAAATAAACATTAAAAAAAAAAGTTTCACCTGAACATAGATTGTAGTGATTGCTGGACAACCCTGTGAACATAGAGTTGACCCTCTAACAATTGGGGAGTTAGGGGCACCAACATCCCACACAGTCGAAAATCTCTGGATAACTTTGACTCCCCCCAACCTAGCTACTCATAGCCTACTGTTGATCACAAGCCTCACCAATAAGCAGTAACATATTTTGTATGTTCTATGGAGTCTGTACTGTGTTCTTACAATAAAGTGAGCTAGGAAAATAAAACGTCATGAAGAAAATCATAAGGAAGAGAAAAAGATGTTTACAGTACAGTACTGGAGGTATCAAAGAAAGTTGACCTGGGCACTTCAAACCTGTGTTGTTCAAGGATCAACTGTATAAAAACCATTGAATTGTACACTTTATTTTTATTTTTTAAAATGTTTTTATTTACTTCTGAGAGAGAAAGAGAGAGAGATAGCATGAGCAGGGGAGGGTCAGAGAAAGAGGGAGACACAGAATCTGAAGCAGGCTCCAGGCTCTGAGCTGTCAGCACAGAGCCTGACATGGGGCTCAAACCCACAAACCCTGAGATCATGACCTGAGCTGAAGTCGGATACTTAATCGACTGAGCCACCCAGGTGCCCCTGAATTGTACACTTTAAATGGGAGAATCTTATGGCATGTGACTTATATCCCAATAGAAGTGCTCAAAATTTTATAATGTTTCTATTCGAAGGTAACTTTTTTTTTTTTAATGAGCAAGGTGACAGAAATACATCTTCTGCCCAGATGTGTTGAGGTCTGAAGTGTCGAGTAAAGTGTGAGCTCCTACAATCCAAATGCTCAGTGGCCCTGTGAGGACAGGCACCTTTGCTGGGGAGGTGCCCTGACCAGACACAAGGCCTTACACTCAGCGCCTCTCACCTGACCTGCTGTCAGCCAGGAAGACAAAAATAGCTGCCCGCCAAAATTAACCTTAACCATTTAAGAAAGAAAGCGTCTGTAACTGCTCAGAAAGCACAGTGTGCGTGTTTTTTATATAGAAATTCTGGGGGCACGTGGGTGGCAGTGAGTTAAGTGTCTGGCTTTGGCTTAGGTCATGATCTCGTGGTTTATGGGTTTGAGACCCACACTGGGCTCTGTGCTGACAGCTTGGAGCCTGGAGCCTGCTTTGGGTTCTGTGTCTCCCTCTCTCTTTGCCCTTACCCTACTCAAGCTCTGTCTCTCTCTCTCTCAAAAATAAACATTAAAAAATTTTATATAGGAATTCTGCACTTTAATACTTATGTGCAATTATATAAGAATGCAAAATACCATTTTTAGCACCGCTGAATTTCATCGCCTCTCTTTTGTCTATGTCTAGAATGAATTTTAGCAGATTAGGTGTTCATATGATGTGGCCCTATTCACTGCTTAGGGATACAACGTTCCTTTAATGGACATTTTTCCATTCATTCAGATATACTATACTGACTTGAATCTAATCTTCTTAATGACTGGAGATATTATGGGTGTTTTTGTGTATAATTGTGGTCAACCCTCAGTTACCCTCAGGCAAGTTGTCCTCTCTGTGGTTCATCTTTGGCATTTCCCTCCTCCCCCTGCTTTTATTGAGATATAATTGACGTGGATAAGTTTTGGGTGTATCCAGTGCTTTGGTATATGTATATACTGTGAAATGATCACCACAACAAGATTAGTTAACAACCATCACTTAGTTAACATTCCCTCCTCCTGATAAGAACTTTTCTTAAAGTTTATTTATGTTAGAGAGAGAGCATGGAAAGGGCAGAGAGAGAGGAAGAGAGAGGAAATCCCAAGCAGGCTCCACACTGTCAGCATGGAGCCCAATGCAGGGCTTGAACTCACAAACCTCCTGATGAGAATTTTAAGGAGCTACCCTCTTAGCATCTTTCAAATGTACGATACAGTATTGTTAACCATAGTCAACATGCTGTACATTACATCCTCAGGACTGACATATAACCAGAAGTTTGTACCTTTTGACCATCTGTACCTAATTCTCCCATCTCCTACTCCTCCACCTCTGGCAGCCCCCAATCTGATCTTTGTATCTATGAGTTTGGTTTTTTTTTTTTTTTTTTCAGATTCCACATATGAGATCATACGGTATGTCTTTCTTCTGTCTGACTTATTTTACTCAGCATAACGCCCTCAAGTGCCATCCATGTTGTTGCAAATGGCAGGATTTTCTTCTTTTTTATGGCCAAATGATATTCCATTGTAAATATACACCATAATTTTTTTTATCCATCCATCTGTGGATGGACACTTAAGTTGTTTCCATGTGTTGGTTATTGTAAATAATGCTGCAATGAACATGGGGGTGCAGATATCTGGTGAATTTTTGATCTGGTCAGACCTTCTGGCATCCCAGAAAAACAGTGGGAAAATTAAAATATCAAATCACTGGGGTGCCTGGGTGGCTCAGTCTGACAGTTCAGAGCCTGGAGTCGGCTTCAGTTTCTGTGTCTCCCTATCTCTGTCCCTCCCCCGCTTGTGCTCTGTCTCTCTGTCTCTCTCAAAAATAAACATTAAAAAAAATTTTTTTTAAGGCAAACCATTAAAATTTGGAAAATAAACCTTTTAACCCCATTCATCCCTGAATGGGCAGTCCTGCCTGGTGGTTAGGAACATTTAAGTCCTGAGGTCAGGTCTCCTTGGTTCCCAGACACAGCCACCCAGGCTTCTGTTCTAGAAAGTAAAGGGAGGTAATGGTAGGTCCAGCCTCTGAGCATTGATTGACACCTGTGAGCTTTGACTGACACCTGTATGGGAATAGTTGGCCCAGTGCGTGGCACACAGTGAGTTCTCAATAAGATGAGTTTCTTTGGGGGCGCCTGGGTGGCTCAGTTGGTTAAGCATCCGACTCTTGGTTTCATGATCTTGCAGTTTGTGGGTTTGAGCTCTGGGTCGTTGGGTTCTGCTGACAGTGCAAAGCCTACTTGGGATCTCTCTCCCTTGCTATCTCTGTCTCTCTCAAAATAAATAAACTTTTTTAAAAACATGAGTTGTGAATGTTCCTGAAGGCCAATATTGTTCATGATCCATACTCTTGCTTCCCTGATTAATGCAGATTTACAGTCGCTCTATTCCACATGCATTTATTGAATAAGGACGGAATGCCCAGACACAGTGAGAAATGGAAAGATAGAAGTGCCAGCCTGTGTCCTTGTTGGGAGGTGTAGGATCCCAGGATGCAAGAGCACTGGGATAGCCCAGAGCCGGGGAGGCTGGGGTCTGGACAAGCCTGCCCTGCCAGGTGGTGGGAGCTGAGCTTTGAGGAGCGCAGGCTTTCCCAAGTAGGTCAGGGCGGACAGAAGGACAGACGACGTTAGGAGCTCTGTGGGGTGGGGAGCTCTCAGGGCAGGACAGAGACAGACCAAGAGGCCATAGTCTCAGTCAGGGAGGGAGTGGCAGACTTTACGCAGAGCCAGCGCGATCCCTGTTAACTTCCTATTTGGGAAAATATTACTTCGAGATATGAATATGGAGAATAAAGCCAAATAAAATCTTGGACTGCAGGCCTCCCTTGAAGATAGGGTTTCTCCAGGTGCCAAGAGAGGAGTTCAGTTTTGCTGTTGGCGAAAGTAGCGTTTATTGACGCTAAAGCTCCAGGAGCGGGAAGGAGCAAAGGCCTCAGCCCGTCTTCGTCCGCCGCGACCTCCTTCCCCCGCCTCGGCCTCCTTGGCCGCCGTGGCCTCTTTGGACCCTTCCTGGGAGTGTTCTCTGCACATCAAGGAGTCCGCACGGCTGGGGACTTCCAGATGTCCCTAGGTGGTTGGGCGGTTCGGCTGGTCTTTGCTGTCATAAACGTTGCCCCAGCGAAAGCTGGGTCCCGCGACTGTGTCCGTAGGAGAAATTCTCTGCCATGAAATCGCAAGGCCGAGGCGTCTGCAGGCGTTCTTCACCGGCTTCGTGAGGCTTCTCATCCGGGGCTGGGCGGCTGCTGCTGTCCTTCCGGAAGCGGAGGGGAGCGCACCTTGTTTGGTTATGTCCGGGGAAGGCCAGCACGCAGCCGCAGTGGGAAGGGCCTCCCGCGAGGCAGCTGGGTGGGCATCCCCAGAAGCGTTTTTTTTTTCCTCCCCACCAACCGAGTGATTTACAAACAAGTGGCTTCCCCCTCTGTCCGCAGGAATCTTCGCCTACATGAACTACAGAGTGCCCCGGACCAGGAAGGAGATTTTCGAAACCCTCATCAAGGGCCTGCAGAGGCTTGAGTACAGAGGCTATGACTCGGCAGGTAGGCTCCGCAGGCTGCCCTCGTGGGCACAACGCTTGTTCGTGTCACTTGAAAACTATGGAAGAGGAGGGGCGCCTGGGCGGCTTAGTATTAAGTGTCCAACTTCGCCTCAGGTCATGATCTCATGGTTTGTGGGTTGGAGCCCTGTGTCGAGCTCTGTGCTGCCGGCTCAGAGCCTGGAGCCTGCTTCGGATTCTGTGTCTCCCTCTCTCTCTGTCCCTCCCCTGCTTACGCTCTGTTTCTGTCTGTCAAAAAAATTTTTTTTTAATTAAAAAAAAATAAGGAAACTAGAGAAAAGGAGAAAGAAGAAATAATAGTTAAAAAAAGTCTCTACCAAAGCTTTCCCATCAATATCTTTGTGTCCCTCTGCTGGTCACTGCTGTGCGTACGTTGGGGTGGTCTGGGAGCGTGGGGGGTGTCACACATGGCTACTTTTTGTTTTTACCTGATTGTAATTGTAGAATTGTAATTTTATGTCCTGTTTTCATTTATCTCCTTCATGTCCCGTTGTTCTAAACTCTTCCTAATGATCTCGCTCAGTGGCTGAACACTCCTCCCCTGGATGACTGGGTCAGAGTTTACCCCTCCGTCCATCTGAGTGGTGGATGTTTAGTCTGCTTCCCATTTTTAATTAAGCAGCCTTAGGAGAAAGGAGGAGCCAGATACTTTCATATCCCTGTTAATTCTTTTTTTTTTTTAATAGTTCATTTATTTATCCTGAGGGAGACAGAGATACCATGAGTTGGGGAGGGCAGAGAGAGGGAGATTGAGAATCCCAAGCAGGTTCCCCACTGCCAGCACAGAGCGCAACATGGGGCTGGAACTCACTAACTGAGAGATCATGTCCTGAGCTGAAACCAAGAGTCAGATGCTTAACCTACGGAGCCACCCAGGCGCCCCTCCCTGTTCATTCTTAATGGAAAGCATGTCTGATGAAGGATCTCGGGAACACTAACACAATAGGGCTATTGGCACAGTGTACGGCACCATCAGTGCCCTCAAGCAAGCCCCCCACCTTCAGTGGGGGGTGGGGAGGAGCCTCCCTCACAGGCAAGCTCCTGGGGGTGCACCCTGGTTCAAAGCCAGGTGAGGCGGCCACAGCCCAGGTCCCAGGCATGCCTCCCCTGGTTACTGCCACAGCATCATCTTGCCAAGTCAACATCCTGAACGCTATCTAGTTCTCTTCCAGGCTGCATGCCTGGCCAACGGGAACAGACATATCCACAGCGCTGTGCAGCCCTCACCCTGGGTCTTACTCTGTAACAACGTGCAGGAGACCAAACAAATCCCGATACAAAAAAAGAAAAGAATCATGTGTGTACCACAGGTGTGGCGATCGATGGAAATAATAACGAAGTCAAAGAAAGACATATCCAGCTGGTCAAGAAAAGAGGAAACGTCAAGGCTCTCGATGAAGAACTTTACAGTAAGTGGGACACGTGCCCAGTCAGAACAGCTCGGGTCAGTTTAAAGTCTTATTCCAACAGCATTCGAGACTAAAAATATTCACGTATCCAAGCATGAATAAATAGAAGGAGAGTCAAGCCCACATTGTAACACTGTGTTTCTCAGAGTGTGGGATGACTTTTTTTTTTTTTTTAGGAGGTGGTGCATGATAATTTTTTTTTTGATATTTAGTACATATGTATTTGTTTTAATTTTTCTGGCAAACGATACTGTTTTTCCATTGATAGTAATGATCTTTGATTCTCTTTTTGAAGTGAGCTCATTTCGGCTGGTGAGTTAGGTTACTGATAAGCACTAAGTAAACTATAGCAGGAATCTGGCAGAAATCTCCAGGGTGGGGCCTTTGCAAGGCGGTATGTGCTTTTTGACGTAGCTGAGGTGTGTCCATGTAATGATGCCACCTTGCCATAACGGTACTGTGGCAATGCTTATTTTTCTTTCTTCCAGAACAAGACAGCATGGACTTGAAGGTGGAGTTTGAGACCCACTTTGGCATTGCCCACACACGCTGGGCCACTCATGGGGTCCCCAATGCTGTCAACAGCCATCCACAGCGCTCGGACAAAGGCAATGGTATGTAGCCTTTGTATGTGGCCCTGCCTCCCCTTCCTGAAGGTTCTGCCTGGCCCTGACCCTGACCTGTGCCACTGTGGATCCACACCCACTGCCAACTGGCATGCTTTTCTCCCAGCCCCTTTTTCCCCAAGCGTCCAGACGGGTAGCCCTGGACCTTAGACAGGAGGCGAACTCAGCCTGGCTCCTGAGCAGGGCTGACCACTCCCCCACCTCCACTCCATGCCTCCACAGGAAAACAGTGGCGACTTCCCATGACTGCTCCTTGCTCGTGAGGCCCAGCCTGAGTGGGACTTGGCAGCATGAGGGGTCTAAGCGTCTGGGCACTGCTCAACAAGGGACCTCGTTGTTCTGGAGGGCTGGGTGCCTGAGGGAGGGATGGGTTTCCTTCCTCAGAGGAGAGTGGTCTTGAGCCAGGGCAGTGCTGACCTCGGCTAATGTCTGGGGTGCCTGCTCCAGTCCTGGGCCCTGCCGTGGGACCTCGGCTGCCAAAGGCTTGAGATTTGGAGAAGCAGAGCCTGTAGCAGGCTGCCCAGGGCCTCCCTCCAGGCAGCCACAGAGCCCTCCACTTGGCTCGTGTCGTGTTTTTCAAATCTGAGAATGACAAAACCTGAAAGTCCAGACTTTTGTTATCCCTTGAAAAGCTACAAAACATGGTAACTGTGCTCACAGTACCTTGGAGTTCCACTGATAAAGCAGGGGTCCAAAGGTCACAGAGTAGGGACATGGCCACTGCTCAGGGCAGTCACGGGTATACCAGGCCCTCTTTGGTGAGCTGCAGGCTCCCCGGTTCTCCCAACTACCCTAGCTCACGGGTCCACGTCCCATGCCTGGGCCCCCAGGATAGTTCTCTTCAGTGACACCCTCAGGCCCTCTCAAGGGTGAAGGGCAGGTAGGTCTGCAGATCCCAGTGGGTCTCTGTTCTAGGTTAGGTCTGGTCAGGTCAGAAGCTCCCAGTGACCCACCCTTGGACATGATGGGGGAGGGTGACCAGCAGAGAATGATCTCTGGAGTCCCCTGGGGCCCCCCACCCCCAGACATCCCCTGGCATAGTGTCAGTTCTTACCAAGCCCCGTATAGAGTAGAAATCAGATCCACCAGAGTGGTTGAGGAGTGCTTATTGGCAGGAAACTTTAGCTAAAAATTTGGCAAACCTCACTGCAGTTCATCATCATGGACATTGGGCCACAGAAGAGACTGGCGCCTCCCTGCTCAATGTCCTTTACCCCTGGGAACACTGGCTGATGCTGCCCAATTTGGAAGATGGCCTCCTCTGGAGAATGGAAGGAGAGAGCCCCATGCCTCATGCCCGGCAGAACAGCCCCGGGGCTGGGCTACACGTGCAACCACGTGGTCGGGGTCTTGGGTAGTGAGAACCCATCCTTGGATCTGGTCCATGCCCCGAACCATTGGGCATCCCACATCCAGGAGGGGACAGCAGACTCTGTGGTGCTGAGGACCCAGAATGTTCATCCAGCCCAATCCCAAGCCAGAAACAGAGGCTGACCCTGGAGTCGTGGGGCTGGCCGGGGAAACACTGCACCAAGACCATGTACCCTGAGAGCTTACCACCCTAGGTGATAAAGTGCAGTCTCATTTCAGTGTAGACAGTGATTCTGTGTCGCTAGAGCAGGGAGGCCCTGAGCAGATCCCCCTGCCCCACACCCAAACTTGAAAATGCCTGCCCTGACTCAGGATGAGTAATTGAAAAGACAACAACATGAGAAGTAAGCAGAGATTCGTAGAATTTCTTTAGCAACTTGTCAGGGATAACTAAGGAGCACATTTTTGAGGAAGACTTACACCCAGCAACAGCGTTGCACAAGAAAATTACACAAAAAAGTGTTGGTGAAGAAAACAGAGATTCTAGGAAGCCAACTACCGATGAGAAGACAATTAACTGAAATGAAAAAATGGGACAGGGGTAAGAAAATAAAACAACCGTGTCACAGTTGGTATGAAACTTATTGGAGAGGTGGATGAATATGGACACAGTGAATAGAGATCCAATAGGGGAGTTATTGGTGTCCCTCAAGAAGAGAACAAAACAAGTAAAATAGTAAAAAAAAAAATAATAATAGGTAAAGCCATAAAAGAGTTCAGCTGTGCCCAGCACACTTGTCGAAAATGGCTTTTCTATTCAAGCCCTTCCAGTCTGTGTGTGACTTCCCAAATGTGAACTATAGGCTGTAAAGAGAGAGACAGAGAGAGAGAGGAAATTATGATAAAAACAAAGAAAAAGAGTAAAGGACTAGCCTCTACTAACAAAAAACTTGAATTTGAGATCCAGAGTTTCACTGAACAGTAATCTTTTTTTTTTTTTAATTTCTAGGAGAGAGAGAGAGAGAGACAGCGTGAGCAGGGGAGGGTCAGAGAGAGAGGGAGTCACAGACTGAAACAGGCTCCAGGCTCTGAGCTGGCAATCAGCACAGAGCCTGACACGGGGCTTGAACCCACGAACTGCGAGATCATGACCTAAGCGAAAGTCGGACGCTTAACCGACTAAGCCACCCAGGCGCCCCTGAACAGTAATCTTTATGAGGAACACTTGCTGTCTAGACACATCCTGGTAGATTTACTGAATGCCAAGGACGATAAAAGGTCTTTCTATCATCTAGGCTCAGGAAGAAAGGGAGTTCCTTATCCAGAGAAACTCTCAGGCTGCTTTTAGACCTTCAAGTTATCTATCAGCTATTTACTGAAGAAATGCAGTGGTGACTGAGGCAGACATATCTGTCTCACAGTCTTGGCCAGGGGGTCCTCCCCTCCCCCACTCCCCCCAGTTCAGGTCAGGGAACCCTGCTGGTGCTGGGGGTGGGGGGATGGGGAGGAGTCACAGCAGGCAGACCCTGTAGAGAGAAGTCCTCATGGCCATACAGGAACGTGGGTGAGCCCAAGGATGCCAGAATTTCTGGGGTCACCCCCAACTTTTTTTTTAAAGTTTATTTATTTTGAGAGAGAGAGCAGGGGAGGGGCAGAGAAAGAGGATTCCAAGCAGGCTCTGTGCTGACAGCAGAGAGCCTGACCTGGGGCTCAAACTCATGAACCATGAGATCATGACCTGAGCCTAAGTCAGATGCTTAACTGATGGAGCCACCCAGGTACCCGAAAATCAAGATTTTTAAGCAAAAATTCAAAATTTCAAACTTCATTTTTTCCACAATGTGGTGTGGGTCAAACGAAGCACACAGGTGGACTGCTAGCTTGTGGCCTCATTGCACCTAAAGCCACTTCAGAATGCCTGGACTAGTTTCTGGATAATGAAGTATTATCATCCCCCATTTGATATAAATACCAAAGCGTGTTTGACAATATTGTAAGCCACAGGGCAGAGCTCTGTGTGTAGTCAGGTTGGTAGGTCCTTTTAACCTACAGTGTGGTGTATTTCCTCAGGTTTAAATTGTAGTCATGGGGCACCTGGGTGGCTCAGTCATTGAGGCATCCAACTTCAGCTCAGGTCATGATCTCATGGTTCGTGAGTTAGAACCCTTAACTGGGCTCTGTGCTGACAGCCTGGAGCCTGCTTCAGATTCTGTATCCCCGCTTGCACTCTCTCTCTCTCCCATTGCCCCTCTCTCTCGTTCTCTCAAAAATAAATAAATGTTTTTTAAAAAAGCAGTTTAAAAAAACTAAATAAATAAAAAATAAATTGTAGTCATAGTAGATGGTAAGATGTTCGCTCCTGTCACCATTAAGTGACGTGTGCTCACCAGGTGTCTCTGGGAGGAGAGCTTGCAGAGTTTCAGGCTGTCAAATCATCATCCTTCACTTCCAACTTGAACATCACCTTTTCATAGCATTTCTCTCTTCACTAAACTTTTCTTCCAGAATTCGTTGTCATCCATAATGGGATCATCACAAATTACAAAGACCTGAGGAAATTTCTGGTAAGCTACTTCTGTGGTAACATGTAAGTCAAGTGGTGTCGGTTCTTCCCCAGAAACTTTCCAACCAGCTCATTTCCCTCCGGAAGCAAAGGCAGGAGCTGAGTGAGACCCACATCACTGCATCGGGCATAAACCTCATCCTGTCTCCGCCGCCTCCCCAGATCTTGCAGGAGAAGATAGCAGGGCATTTGCATGTCCCTTAGGGACCACCGCGGGTTCACATAATCAAAAGAACATGAACTTCCTTTTATTAATGCATCTGTACTACCTAACATAACGACTCATACACCACATGGAATGTGGGGTGGGAAAGCAGACAGTGTGTATCTACCTTATGAAAAGGTTGTGGTGTTGGTTGGGACGTGGGTGGATTTGACTCAACATATTTGATCATTTTGACTGCTGTTATTTTGCAATGGCCAGATTAATGGCGAGGACAGGCTTCTGAGGCAGGGTGATCTCAGGGAATACTAGAATGACTCAGCTGGCTGTGTGATTCTGGAAGACATTTCTTATCCCCCTCGTTTTCCTTGTTCTTATCTGAAGTTACTATGAGGATGGATCATGAGGGAGAAGAGGGAGCTGGCCGGGTGACATTATGCAATGACCATTATCTAACACTCTGTCCAACGAAATATTCCAGGAAAGCAAAGGCTATGAGTTTGAGTCAGAAACTGACACTGAGACCATCGCCAAGCTGATTAAATATGTGTTTGACAACAGAGAGACTGAGGACATTACGTTTTCAACATTGGTCGAAAGAGTCATTCAGCAGCTGGTGAGTTACCAGACCCGCCTGTATAAATAAATCACCCCTTCATTCCTTCACTTTCCAATAGTGTTTATGAGGCAAATTTGTGCGAAGAACCTGAGGATTGAGGATGGCTTGAGTACAGGAGCGCCTGGGTGGCTTAGTCGGCTAAGTGTCCAACTCTTGATTTTAGCTTAGGTCTTAATCTCAGAGTCTTGAGTTCAAACCTTGTGTTAAGCTCTGCACTGGGTGTGAAGCTTAAGAAAAAGAAAAAAGTCTACAACGTTTGGCCTTAAGATGTCACATCATGGAGAATTGAGAGAAATCCTGAGGTTTTGGTAGCCAACATCAAGTTTTAACCCTTCTGAATCTGTGATCGGAACTTCCCATCTGTGGTTCCTCACGGTGTGCTGCACTGGGGACCTTAGTTGTGGCAGGTCCTCTGTCATCGTGTCAGCTCTGTGTGCGTTAGTTATATACCCAGGGTGCATCGAACTGATGTTGGAGACTCAGAATTGTAGTTTTTCTGCCTGTTTCGGTGAGGTGGTTGTTCATCACGGGGAGGAAATGCCCACACATCCTTGCTGAGCAGAGCTAGAAGGAAGAGGAAATAAAAACAGCAGGTGTGGACTTTTGAGAAGTTTGATTCTAGAAAAAGAGTGTCAGGAAATGGCCCAGTGGCGGTGGGAGAGGCTTGCAGTTCTGAGGGAAGACTGCTTTGTGATAGGAGATATCCTATCAGGTCCATGTGCTGATCCAGGAGGAGAGAGATTGGTGATGTCCCAGAGGGCTGGACCCACAAAACTCAGCCCCGAGAAGGGGTGCATACTGGAGGGATTGTCCACAAAGAGGAGGCAGAACAGACTCAGGTGGTGTATGAGATCGCAAGGGGAGTGCGCTCCAGGTTTCCTAGAGTCCATCCTCCTGGGCATCCGTGCCACCCAGGAGCTCCTCCGAGACAGGGCCAGCCTGGAGACAGTGTTTGGGGCCGAGAGTCTGGAATATTCAGTGTCAGAGGGCACAACACTGTAGTTTAAAATATATCACCCTCTGGCATTTTCAGAGCCTTTTTCAGAAATAAGTCTACTGTCAAACACTTTGCCCTGTGACTCCCATTTTTGGGAGTTGTAATTTAGAAGACATTTATAATAAGAGCCTGTCCCATATGTAGTACATAGTATAATATACTGTGTAATTTACAGTAAACCAGTTGGCTTTGCGGTGCGGTATCTCCTCATTGCTGTTTGTGATTTTAAATTTTGGAAATGCCTCCCCAGTGACGACCGGTATAAATTTCAGTGATTTCTCTTAGCTGAAGCAGCAAGGGGCTCTTTGGGGCAGACAATGGGAAGTGTTTTTCTGTTCAGTACGATGTTCTTGTTGATAGAACTTGGCAGGGTAAACGTCAGGCCCCTGGGGTCTGCCTGAAGCCTCTTCATTTGGGGCTATTTGAAAGGCCCTTATAGGTCCTGGGACACTGACTCTGGGTCCCTCTGGCTGTGTGACTGAGTTGGCAAACTGGCCAAGGCACACTGGCTGCACGTGCCTTGGGTCTGCCCAGGATTCCAGAACGTGGGGTATTTCATATGGAGATCCAGACTTCTAGCTGGTCATACATAACCTGAGTCTACTAGGGTCATGGTAAATGTTAGTACAGGGTGGTCAGGACGTAGGAGAGAATTTTGCACCTAGGATTTAAATTGAGCACTTGGAGTCTGGAGTTAGGAGAACTAGGTTTGTTCTGGTTTGCACAATGCAACAAGCTGAAGCACAGAGGGCAAGTGACAGTCATTGCTAAAGCAATAATAACAACACTAATAACAACCCGTGCCGCTATTGGGTTTTCAATATGGCAGCCACTGTTCAGAGCACTTAAAGTGCATAAGCTCACATGGGGTGCCTGGGTGGCTCAGTCGGTTGAGTGTCTGACTTCGGCTCAGGTCATGATCTCACTTTGGTGAGTTCGAGCTCTGCTGTCAGCACAAAGCCACTTCAGATCCTCTGTCCCCTTCTTTTTCTGCCCTTCCCCCATTTGCACTCTCTCTCAAAAATAACAACAACAACAAAAGTGCATGAGCTCACAGAAGTCATACAAGGTAGGACTATTCTCATTTCCATATGCCATGAGGCGTAATCTAGGCAATTGCTCAATTAAGGGGTAGAGACAGGGTTTGAACCCAGGCTTTACTGTATATCATGGATTAGTCCCTTTCATTCTTACAGTCCCAGGGCAGGACCTCTGGCCACAGTCCTCATTTCTTGAGGCTCTAACTGTACCCCTCCACCCAGATCATCACAGAGCTGAGAATCACTCCTTGTGGGCCTGAGCAGGGGTGGGTTCTGCTGAGCACCATGAAATCCGCAAGTCCTGGTCTTTGGTTCTTCAGCATGGTACCAACCGTGCTGCATTCGGCACCCTGAGGAAGGAACCGCAGAACCACCCACCGTGAAGAGTGACGCCCTCTGTGGGGCGGTGGGCCAGGTGGCAGCAGCCCTGGGGGCTCTGGCAGGGCCTGAGCACATTGTCACTCACTCTTGTTTGCTCTATTCACAGGAAGGTGCATTTGCATTGGTTTTCAAGAGCATCCACTACCCTGGAGAAGCTGTTGCCACCAGGTGAGGCAAAACATGTTGACATTTCAAGAACAAATAAATAAAATAAGATCACTTAGCTTGAGGCATAGGGGAGAAGTGAGACCGTGGCCTATGCACCCCATCATCACTGTGGCCAGGGCCTCTGATTTTTAAAAGGAAAAGCAGAAAGTTGTTTTTTTACTTTGAAATCTCCAGATTTTCAGAAGTTGACAACAAATTCAAAGTAAAAACAAAACTATACAGCGAGGGGCAGATCCAGGTTGCAGGTCAGTTTTGAAGATGCCTTCTAGAAAAACATGCAAAATTATGAATGTGAGACTAGGAACAAGTGAACATTAATTTGAATGCAGTAAAGAAGAGGCCTTGAAGGCCCAAGCGCAAGCTTCATCACCTGCACACCAGGGTGTTCTAGGAATCAGCCCAGAGGGCCTGGGTCAGCCCGCATGTCCCTCTCTTAGATAGAGCCCCACAGTCCCCAGTGATGTGTGGATTCACACAATTGGGGTTGTGAGTGCCATCCTGTTATTTTATATTCAAATGAGCTGATTATCCATCTGTTCATCCATCCACCATCAGTCTGACCATCCATTCACGCATCTACCTGTCCATCTGTCCTTCCCTCCCCCCCATCCATCCAACTGATATCTGTTGAACACTTGGTCTGTACTGAGTCCTAGGGATCGAGTAACACCTGACCTGGTCCTGCCTTTAAGGACAGACCGCACATTTGTGCAGGAGGACAGAGCGGGGCAGAGGGTGTTGATACTCCATGTTGGGGGCTGGGAGGCAATGTGCTGGGGGGTAGGAGGGAGCACAGGTGTCTGCCTAGGAGAGGTAGGCAGAAGGACCAGTGTGAGCAAAAGGAAGGGGCCTGGAGTGAGCTCAGCACTTTGGGGATCTGACCCAGAGCAGGCTGAGTCCCCTTCAGAAAAAACACAGAAAACACCCTGGTTGAGGGCACAGATGGGGTCAGCAAGGACACACCACTCCTCGCTCTTCAAAGGAGCCCATGGAATGTGGCCCAGATTCTGTAATGAAAGCAGCGGCCGTTTCCCAGACACTTTGTAAGCTCATTCCCCGTGGTAGCGGTCATGGGCAGACTTTCTGCTCATCCAGAAAGACAGACTGACACCTGCTGTGTACCAGGCATGGGAGACAGCAGTGAGCAAGGTCATGTACACTCTGCCCCTCGAACTTCAAGGGCTGGTGGAGAGTGAGGATGAGGGCAGAGGCCCTGCTCTGCAGGGTCTCAGGTGCACTATGGGCTGAAGGTTTCGTTTTGAAACCTCTGAGGAGCCACAGAGAATGCACCTGTGGCCTGGGAGACACAGACAGAATGAGGCTGTCCCTCATGGACAGTCATATTCTCTAGGCAGGAAATGATGGGAATGTATCATGATTTAATTTTTTTCCAGGATAGGAAGGAATTTACCACTTGGCATTTAATTCCTTCAATCATAAAATTATAAAAGACCACTTGGTCCCTTTTAAATTTAGAAACCCCAGGGTAGCTGGGTGTCTCAGTCAGTTAAGTGTCCAACTTTGGCTCAGGTCATGATCTCACAGTCTGTGAGTTCGATCCCCACGGCAGGCTCTGTGCTGACAGCTCAGAGTCTGGAGCCTCTCTCTCTCTCTCAAAAATAAATAAACATTAAAAAAATTAGAAACCCCTTTTAAAACTCGATATTATCCTGGTATTACTATTTTAAATGAATGCAGAAGAAGGCAATGTGAAGAAGCAATAAAGCTTTATATTTCTAAATTGTCTGTAACTGCTGGCTCTGTAACATGGGCAACCTTTGGGATGCTTTGGGAACATTATTTGAGGCAAAGTTTAGAGAAATCATAGAGCTCAATCTATAACAAGAGAATCTGGGGGAGACTTTTGCCAAGAAAATTAGATAACCACAGTATTTTCTCATTACCAATGTTATAAAGAAAGGCTAGTTGAGCTGGCTCTCCATTGTACACACAGCCATGTCTCCTCTTTGCTTCAGATGTGATAAAAGATGGTCCAAAATATTCAAGGTGCTCACAGCACCTTCTTCAAAGCCACAGACTCTGTCTCCCAACTTGGGGAGCTCAGATGTGGGGCTGGGAGAAGAAATACAAGTTCGAGGCTGCAGGAATTCCCGCAGGGGAGCAGTCACTGTCCCCTCTGTGATAGAGTCCAGCTCGTGCAGGTTGAGAGTTTGAAACTTTGCCCATGACACTCAGGCAGAGGCAAAACCACCCTTGAAAGCGTGTTATGTGGCCCACAAAGTTGAGCAGATCCAAATCCAGTCATCGGAATGCTCCCCAGAGCTGGAGAGTAGCTGCACTAGGCAAAGGGGTGGGACAGGGGGAGGGAAGAGAATCTTTGGGCAGGTCCTGGGCGTCGAGGTCTCCCGCTTTAGAGATGGCAGTAAATGGAAGCCTGCTGGAGACACGGAGTGTTCCTGCATGCTGACAGGGCCTCCTAATGCCTCTGCCTCAGTGATCTAACCGTGTGGGGATTCACTGAGCAGGGAGGTGGCATCAGGAAAGGGAGCCGGAATTCTCCTTCCGGTCAGTTAGTTGGTCCCTGCTGTAAGCCCTGGGAGCATCTTCCTGTGCCTCAGGAATCTGTCCTGTGGGATCTCAACAGGATGCTTTCCCCTGGCAGAAGGGCTAGACGCGGGCCCCCCTCCTCAGTGCTCAGAGGCCATCCAGCCCTGCCCGGGGTGTTGAGATGATGAGTAACTGGACTCCCTCTTGTTTCTACAGGAGAGGCAGCCCCCTGCTCATTGGAGTGCGGAGCAAATACAAGCTCTCCACAGAACAGATCCCCATCCTGTACAGGACACGTAAGTTTTTCGAGAAGGACTTGAACAGGGCAGGGGGCTCTCGGGCTCTGGTCCAGGCTCCAGGTCAGTTCGTGCAACTGACACTTGGGTCCGTCTTTGCCAAAGCGTTTTATTATGGATATTTTCAAACGCATACACAAGTCCAGGGGACGGCATGCAGCTCCATTACATAAAGGCATCCGCACTCTGAGATGAGCGTTGCTTTGCTTTGTTTTGTTTGCAGCCATTCAGAAAGCTCTTGCTGCGGCCCCGCGCTATTTGGGGATCATTTGCACGATTTGGCTGACACAGCCAAAGCTAAAAATTGCAGATTTCTCCCACACATATTCACAGGGGAAGCTGGCGCCTTGCTTCATGTTATTCAAACAAAAGAGTTTAATGTCACTCGCAATCCTTCCCTTCCTTCGCCAGGCAATTTCGAGAATGTGAAGAATATCTGCAAAACAAGAATGAAGAGGCTGGACAGCTCGACCTGCCTTCATGCTGTGGGCGATAAAGCAGTGGA